AAAAAGATGAAATACTTAGGAATTAGTCTAATGAAAAAAGTAATACATCTATACAGTGAAAATTATATGACTGAAAAAAAGAGATTGAAAAAAGGAGATTGAAGAAGATATCAGAAAATGGAAAGATATTGCTTGCTCATGGATAGGAAGAAACAACATTGTGAAAATGGCCATACTCCCAAAAGTGTTGTACAGATTCAATGTAATCCCAATTAAAATACCATTAGTATTCCTCACAGATCTAGAGAAAACACTCCTAAAGTTCATCTGGATCCAGAAGAGGCCTAGAATAGCAAAAGCAATCTTAGGAAACAAAGGAAAGGCAGGAGGCACCACAATTCCTGACGTGAAATTATATTATGAAGCTACTGTGATAAAATCAGCATGGTACTGGCACAAAAACAGACCTGAAGATCAATGGAACAGATTAGAAGATACAGATACAACTACAAACACACTCAGTCACCTTATCTTTGACAAAGGGGCCAAACATGTTCAATGGAAGGAAGACAGCCTCTTTAATAAATGGTGCTGGAAAAACTGGCTTTCCACATGCTGAAGACTAAAACTAGACCCATGTCTTTCACCATGCATTAAATTAAATCAAAATGGATCAAAGATCTAAATATTAAAACATAAACACTAAATTCATTGGAAGAGAAAGTAGGTAAAAATCTTGACGACATTGGGTAAGCAGAGAGTTCATGAACAGAAACCAAACTGCATGCGAAATACTGCGTAGAATCAACAACTGGGATCTCCTCTTATTATAAAGTTTTTGCACATCTAAAGAAATCAGCAATAAAGTAAAAAAATCCTCAACAAGATATTAATAGAATGCAGCACATGATTAAAAAGATTATACATCATGACCCAGTATGTTTCATCCCAGAGATGCAAGGGTATATATAAGCCAATAAATGTAATACATCACACAAACAGAAGCAAGGTAAAAAAACTATGCAATCACATCAATAAATACAGAAAAGACTTTCAACAAAGTCCAATACCCATTCATGGTCAAAATCCTGAAGAAAATACCTATACAAGGACCATACCTGAATTTGATAAAAGCCATTTATGACAAACCAATCCCCAACATCATATTAAATGGAGATAAACTAAATGCATTCCCCTGAAAATTAGGAACAAGGCAAGGATGCCCACTATCACCTCTTCTATTCAACTTGGTACTTAAAACATTGGCCAGAGCAATCAGGCAAGAGAAATAAAAGAGATACATATAGGGAAGGAAGGACTCAAATTATCATTTTTTGCACATGACATGATACCCTACATAGAAGACCTGGGAAACTCCACCAAAAAACTCTTAGAATTCATAACCAACCTAAGGGACATGGCAGGATACAAGATCAATGTACAAAAATCACTGGAATTTATATATACCAATAATGAACTTAATTAGAAATTATGGAAGTAATACCATTTACAGTAGCTTCATGAAAAATAACTTACCTAGGAATTAACCTAACCAAGAAAGTAAAGAACCTCTGCAAAGCAACTATGGTACTCTGGAAAAGGAGACTGAAGAGGACATCAAAAAATAGAAAAATGTCCTCTGCTTCTGGATAGACAGCACCTATATTATAAAATTGGCCACACTCCCAAAACTGTTATATAGATCCAATACAGTGCCAGTCAAATACCAACACCATAATTTACAGAACTAAAGGAAACAATTCTAAAATTTATATAGAAGCAATAGAGACTCAGAATAGCAAAAGCAATTTTGGGCAAAAAGAGCAAAGCAGGAGGCTTTACAATACTAAACTTCAAGCTACACTACAAAGCAATAGTGATAGACAGCATGGTACCAAAGCAAAAACATACAAAAAGACATGTGGGCCAATGGAACATAATAGAGAATACAGAAACATCCCCAGACACATTCAGCTATTTGATCTTTGACAAAGGAGCCAAAAGCATATGCTGGAGGAAAGACAGCCTATTCAACAAGTGGTGGTTATTTATTTTCAGAACATTGACTTTGGACCCATATCTCTCACTGTAATAAATTAAAATCAAAATAGATCAAAGCTCTAACCATTAAAACAGAAACATTAAACTTACTGGAAGATAAAATAGGTAAAACACTTGAAGACATGGGTGTAGGAAGGGATTTTCTAAACAGAACCTCAATCTCACAAGAAATAAAAGAATCAACAAATGGAATTATATCAGAGTAAAAAGCTTCTGTATGGCAAAAGAATCAGTAGAGTGAAGAGATAACCTACAGAACAGGAAAAAAATTTTGCCACCTATTCGTCAGAGGACTAATATCTAGACTACATAAGGAACACAAAATATTCAACCACCTAAAATTAAAGATCCAGTCAAGAAATGGGCAAGGGAAATGAACAGACATTTCACAGAGGAAAAGGTACAAGTGGCCAACAAATATATGAAAAAATGTTCAACATACCTGGAATAGAGCCTCCAGAATTGTGAGATAAATAAACCTTACTCACAAATGACTGCTAAAGGTCATACAATAAGTCATACAATAAGTTTTCTTTTAAACCCACAAACTTGGAAAAAATTTTAGCTGATTGTCCCTCAGACAAAGGGCTTCTATCTAGAACATATAAAGAATTAAAAAGTTTCAGCCCCTCCAAATTCAAAGACCCAATCCAAAAATGGGCAGCTGAGATGAA